AGATAACTGAGGCACATAAAAGCAGATATTACTGTCCTCATTTTACAGTTGGAAGGTGGAAAATTATAGGTGGAAAACTTAAGGTACATGAAGTTTTCAGATGCCCCTGAATCTTGAAGTTAGTCTTAAAACCAGGTTGAACTTTGAACACAAAGTACCCTTCCAGATAACTATTCTCTATTAATCTCTCCCACTAAAAGCAGTAGCAATTGAGGACAGACTCCAATAATAAAATGGCTATGGTCAACCACTCTCCCATGAATACTTCACATCTGCTTTCCAATCAGTTATTACTATTTTCTGTAGGACAATGGCCATGTACACTCTATCAAATGGATAAGCAAAGGATTCAACAGTCTTAAGAAGTGATTAAAGCTTGATGCAAATGGATATCAGGAGCAGGTTTCCTCCTCTTGTCTGGGATGGGAACAGGATCGTTTGGCCGCCTCCGCAACTTTCTGGTCATGATAGGCTTCACTTCCATAGAATCTGTGGCAAGAATGGAATGGGTAAATCTATCCAACGCCCCCTTAAAGTCAGTCAGTAAGAATTTCTATAGCGTACAAATATCTGCCCCACAGATACCTAATCAGAACTGTCTTACTGGGGATGTTTGGTCTACACACAGCCCAAGCCAGATACCCTATTACACTTTAGAAAGCGCCCATGCTTATAAGATTCAGAAGCCTAGGTACACAGCCCTCTCAGAAATGCAGCCCTACAGCCTAGCGTGATAACCACTGTAGGTGTCTCTCCAGCACCCTCAAAAACTACGGCTATTATTCCTCTCCTTCAGATTAAGAAGTTCCAGAGTTGCAGGCTCTTGGGATTTTAAGGAACCTTGGGGTCATCTCAGTCAACTAATTTCTGCTGTTCCCAGAGAATGCGTGTTCTGAAGCCCACTGGTATAAAAGGCTCTCTTAGAGACCACTGGCCTCAGTGCCGACATTTCTATATTAAGTCCTCGTTCACAGACTCAGACCCCTTTTTTCTTTTGTAACCTTTTGTAGCTACTTGACTATCAAAAATAATACAATGAAGGCTCATAATAAAAGCCTCTTTCCTTCTTTGCTCTGTAGTCTGACACTGCTGTGGACTCCCCATGCCTTAAAATCGCTCCTCGCCCAGCCGTGGTGCTCAAAGAGGCTGACTTGCCTCCTCGGAGCCCTTTTTTGCTTGCCTGCTCCCTGGATCCTGGTGATCTCTGGTGTCCTGTCACTCCTCAGGCTGTACCCCAAGCAATTTCCAGTCACCCCTCTGAATGGCACCCGGTACCCAACACTACACACTCTCCATGCTCCGAGCAAACTCATTTCTTCTCCTTGTTTCCCCTCCCAAGGCTGCCTCTTCCTCGGCATCTCAGGAGCATCAAATCTATTCATGCTTCCACGCTAGAAAACTATCTGTCATCTGAGATTTGTCTTCCTTCACCCGGGCATCAAGTTTACCAGAAACATCAGTTCTGCCTCAAGTCCACCCTTTCTCTTTTCACTGAGCCGTCAGAGTCTCTCCCATATCCCATCCATCCTCCCCTCCAAGTGATATTCCTAAGACACAAATCAGATTATTTTGCGCATCACTCTTCTTACTAAATATGTCAATGCCTTGCCACTCTCTAAACAATAAAAGCCAAGCCTCACTTCTGCTCTTCCTCCCTTCTCCTTCGTTCACACTGACTGTGTGTGCAAGCTTTTAGCTATTCTGTTACCCAGAATAAAGGCACTAGACTTTATGCCTTTCAGATTCTGCACAGCCTGTCCTCTGTCTGGCTTCCTGTTTTCTGCCTGGCAAACTTCTACATAACATCCTTTGAGATGCAGTTCAATACTCCCCCTTCTGTGACAGCCTCCAAAGGCAGAGACTCCTTCCATTTTCCAAGTAACCAGAGCATCAGTACAAATGTCTACTATACCAAGTGCCACTTTGTTTATTATTATCCCATTTGAATTCTAATCCCAGTAGGGGCTTCACAAAGTCTTTTGCAGAACTAGATGAGGTCAAGCCTGGTCATGAGATAAAGTCAGTTTGTGATTATGTACACCGTCAGCAGAGCAGGCGGGGCAGCATTACGGAATTCTACCAAAGCAGTGTGTAGGATCTTAAGAGTATGTAATAAACGTGCTGTAAAAAGTCAAAAACTGTTTCTGCACACTGTTCTTAAGAAGAGAAATGGGTAATACTGAAAATTTTCTCTATGAATGGAGAGGAGGTAAAATAAAAAATAGAGATGTACAGAATATTCATAAAGGTGTAATTGGAAGTGAAAAGAGAGAAGATGACAGACGGACGGACACACACACACAGACATCCCTCCCTGGGAACAGGGGGAAGCCTTCTAAAAGAAATCTCTTACCCTATGTGAGAGATTCTCCAGTTATGTACTGGCCAGTAGCGCAGCACAGTGGTTAAGAGCCGGGGTGTCACACAAATGTGGCCCTGAATCCCTGAGGCAGCTGAGTGACCAAAGGCCACACAAATGCTCTATGTCTCAAGTTCCCTCATCTAGAGAATAGAAGTATTAGTAACGCCTCCCTCACAGTGTGTTGTGTTACATGAGATGATACACGTGAAGCTTACTTAGCACAGGGCCTGGCATAACAAGAGTTCAATCACTGCAACTTTTCATTATGATATTTGCAGGCAGGAAAAAACTATACAAAGATCTTTTTTAAAAGTCAAACTATAAACAGCTGAAAAGAAGTTATAGGCTTGAAGGCAACTGATGTCAACTGTGAGGCTTTGCAACATTCAGAAATAATTTGGAAAACAAAGTGTAAAGGGAGCTCACCCCATCCAAGAGAACGGCAAAGAAAAAGCATGTAGCCCACGAACATATTATGGAGTGTTCTGTCCACCAGAGTATGGCTAAGTGCACCCTGCTCTGTCAGCTGCCAAGGTTGGGGAGTGGGGAATGCAGGCAATGCATAATGGAAGTAAGCCAAGTACAGGCATAGCTCAGAGCATTTGGGAATAATATCATGTCTGATCGCAGCCATTAAACTCAGAAAATCATAACTGCATCACTTACAAATTGGGAAATATAATCAACTTCTTCTTAAGAAATGGTGAAAAACAATCCATTTTATTAGCCTGGTCACGGCAATAACCTGATGAATTTTATCCAAAGACTACTTCTGCAGAAGGAAGGTACTCTGGAGAAGACCCTAAAATTTACCAGCATGTCTCCACCACCACCTAGGGGAAAGGAGGCAGCAGGAACAGTCCTGGCCAGTGGCCCAGGTGGAAGATGTAATTTGATGAGGAGATCAATGTGTAAGTACCACAGCCCCATAGCCCTAAGAGTATCCACTTAAGTCACCTTGCTCCAATGCCAGGGTTGCCTAGTTGGCTTCTAGGGTGGATTTTTCACAGAAGGATGGGATAGCCTGACCATCTGGGTCTGAGTCTAGAAAGTTCTATCCCCCGCTATAAGCAACAAGTTGGCTTTCTGAATTTATAACATCAGTCCCCTGTGAGTTTGGCCAGTAATTATCCCAACCAGCTCAATCTGGGTACAGTGACATGCACAACCCCCTCCCCCCAAAAAAAGCAAACTTCCAGAACTGAAGCTCAGACCTGAGTGTAGAGTGTGACAACCCTGGAGAAGACACCTGAGCAGAAATTCAGTCTTTCTCTCAGACATCATGCACCAACCACAGAACACCTCTAAGCGACTTGTATTAGAAAGCCTCTCTGATCCAGAGCACTCTCCATAGGTCTGCTTCAGTGGGGATACTACTCGTGGAATCTCATTGAATATCAAACAATCCAACCAGATTTGGGAGAGAAAACACTGAACGAGCAATGAGACCAGGTAAACAACTCCTCTCCAAACCATCTTGTAGTATGATCTTTAATGGTGTGAATCCTATTGCTCTACTCACCAGAAAACCTGATAGATAGATACAGGCACCCCCAACCCCCACCCCACCTCCAGGTAGCACTGGGTCTGCCATCTAAGAAATGGGAGCACAGGTTGAATCGATGCTAGGTAGAGGCATTACAGCACAGTCCCTATAGAGAGATATTCCTGACAAATTAATTACTGCAATTAAATACGATTACCAGTTTACTGGCTGGACTTTTCTTCTGTACTTCCCTTGGCCTATTCATTCACTTCCAACAGCTCACCTGCCTATACAGTGTACAACTACAGTAAAAGCTTCATTTTAACATACTTTGACCACTAAAACAAGCTCATACTTGTTTAGCTATTGGAAAAAAAAAAACTGCAATGATTCAAAGGAGCATCCTTAAGAAACAGGATATAAGTGGCAGAAAGAAAAGCCACTGCAGGGTACACACCATATCAGACTGGCAATGACCTCCAAACCGGGGAGGGGGGGGGGGCAGGGCAATGTAGGGCTAGACTAGAGGCCCAGAGCAATCCCCAGGACACCCCACACCCCTCTCTAGTGGGATGGCAGGTGCATGAGTGTTGTCACAGATCAATGCTGCAGTGGCAACCATAAATGAATGCCTAGAGGTGGGAAGCTGAGATACAAATCAAGGTCAGGTCTTTGGAGGCCAAATCAGGATAGGAATAAAGTTGCTCATATAGAAGGGATGGCATGTACAGAGTAAGTCAATCAAGGCTTCCTCTCCGCACCCTCAACCATGTTAAATGGCCTGGATTCCACCGTATTAGCATCAGGAAAGAACATCTTGAAGACAAGTTGACTCTACCCAAAAACCCAGGTCCACCTCTTCCATTCTCCCCGCTCCCCACATATTTGTGTGGGACCCGCTTCTCCTTGCCTTGACTTCCAGCCTCCCCTACTCATTAACATCTGTTAAGTACCATGTGACACTCACTGCTCCTATAGTAGTACAACGACATACACCTTAATGTTTAAAAAAAAAAAAAAAAAAATCAGTAAAAACAACCCTGTCAAATCTTTACCTTCACTTAGGGCCCTCTTTCTCAATACTGCATTATGTTGGGGAAGACAGGGAAGCTGTGTCTGCTTTGCAATTGTCAAAGCATAATCTCCTTGGGCACACAAAACTTACCCATTAGCCTAATTTTGTGAGTCGCTTAGTGCCACAGGTATCCATGGTATCTATAGAGAATCAGTATAATGTGGTGGTTAAGAGAACACACTTGGAATCAGACAAATTCTGGCTTAACCACTATGTATCTTCGGGAGACTTTGAGCAAATGGTTCCATTTCTTTGAGCCTGCAAATAGTACCCCCACTGAAGCAAACCTACGAAGAGTCCTGTGAAATCAGAACGACACCCCACTCAAAGGGAGCTGAGCAACTAAACGAGGCTACAACTTCCCAACCCCTGAGTGCTTCCTCCACGTACCAGCCACTTTTTGAAACACCTTATAGGCATCAGCTCTTCTCACTTCCACACCACCACCCCTGCCCCTGTAGGTTCTATCCTCTCCTTGCCAAATGAGAAAATCCTACCTCAGAACTAAGTCCACGACAGAGCCAGGATTCACCCCAGGTCTGTCAGCCTACAGAGGTAGCTCTGATGTTTTTAGACAATGCCTGGCTCAATGGAAGTGCTCAGGAAACAGACTTCTATCTTGACACTGTCATGACTCATGGTACCAGCTAGGAATCCAGTATCTTCTAAAGGAAACTCACAGGCTTTCCCGAGGTCCCGAGTAGCTTCCACAGGGACCTGAGGGCTGGAAGATGCCCCTGGTGAGCAAGAACTAATGAAAAAAAATGAAGTGGCACTTGGACTGTTGGAAGAAAGGAGAAAAGGCAGCTGTTCTAAAGACAACAGGAAAAATACATTAAAAATGACAAAAGCTCCCCACATTTTAAAGCTCATTAAGTTCTCAATGATTATTTGGGTTACTTACAATCTTGGCCTCAACTCAGAGAAAACTCACACTCATGTATTCTCTCTATAACCTCATTACTTGAAGTGCAGTCCTACCAAGCAGCCCTGGGAGGTGGTTAAAATGCAGGGTCTCGGCCCCCACCCCAAACCCCCTGAAATGCAGAGTCTGCATTTTATCAAGATCCCCAGGTGATCCATATACACACAACAGCTGGAGAAGCACTGACCTATAACTCATTCTAGCTCCTTTATCTATAGTACACCTTTCCACCTGTACAGCCCAGTTTCCGTAAGTTCTCCACAAGAGGTCTGGGTGGTGAAAAGTACGTCCTGCCAATTCCTACGGAGGTCTGTAAATGCTTTAAGCCACGGTTGGACAGGCAGGTTGCCAAATACACCTGTTTCCGGTGGGTTATCTGGACTATGCTTCTCATCAGCCTCTTATTCTACTTTGTTTTTCCAGATATCTTCCTGTTGAACCAGAAAGGGAGACTTTAAAAAATATCTTTTTGGTGCAGAGCTGGGCAACATTAATACTGGGCATCAATCCACAAAGGTGAAATAAGTCACTCAATTAGAGGAATGAAATCAGGCCTTTAATCCAACACCATAGCAGCACCATCTGTGGAAGGGCTAATTACCCTTCTAGCTCCAGTGCCTTTTCTTCCAACACTCTATCATTACCTTGGCAGTGCCTTCCATACCAAGGGTACCAAATGGCTTGAGGAAGGACACTGGTACCTTTAATGCCCATTGCTAGCTTTAAGTACTTCTATAATCTATTTCTACTGTGTTACAAATGATTTCTCCACATTTATTTGTCTTTTCTACCCTGGCAGACTCAGCCTCAAGTCACCGAGGATGCCTACTGTCCCCGTTAAGATTCTGGCTGTAAAACAGCCTGGCCAAACAACGTCTATCGCTTGTTAATAATCAGGATGCCAAATCACAAGTAAGGTGATGATACCCTTCCCTGCACATGGAAAGGGAGCAGCTATAAACTGACAATATTTCCCAATAGCCTAATGAAGGCTCCCAAACATCTGGTGGCACTAGCAGAGAGCAATGAGGCATCAATGCCAGTCTCCACCATCATCAAAGAAAATGGTGTGTAGGTCAAAAAGCAGGCAGGCAGGCACCAGACAAGGCCCCACAGTGCTACCTGTCTCAAAGCACTGCAACAAGAACAAGACGGTGCTGTCGGAAGCTGCTGTTTTAGCATTCAATCTCACACACACAAAAAAAACATTTCTGAGCCTCTTTCAGAGGCCTTCAAGGAACTCACTTCTTTTGCCAAGTCTTTCAATGAGGAAGCTATCAGAGGAGAGATTTTTCAAGAGTCAGACTCCACCGCAAGCACAACCACGCTCTCTTTAGTGTACCATGGGGACTGGAGCCAGAGTCTGTGTCAAACAGAGGGCCAGGATGGTTCACATGTAGGGGGAAACACAGATCTTAACTAGATAGGTTTAATTCCAAAGTCAGCCCCAAGAACTTCCATAGAAACGTTGCATTTCCTATGACACCCCGCTAAAATGAGACATGCCAGAGCCCCAGTGCCTTCCCAACATAATTATGAGTTAAATTTTGGGGTGTACAGGAGGCAGGCCACCTCCATAATCAAGTGACAAACTCACCACTGACTTGCCTTGCAGTATTTGCCAAGTTCCAAAATAGCGAGTTCAAGCTAGTTCCCTGTATCCTTCTAGGATCCATCAGTCTGCCTATGGCAACAGAGGAGGCGGCCCATATTGTTTCTCCCTTCGACTTGCCTACAACCTGCTGAGTTTCCATATGTGGATTTACTAACCCCTAGAAGGCTAGGAAGGGATTTGCCCTGAGTCTCATGCAACTTTACTACCTTTATAGGAAAATACTTAAGTTTAGCTACACTGTTGGAACGGTATCAAGTCTTTCTGAAATGTTCACAGTAACACCTGGCAGAGGAGATCTAATACCACAGATGACACAGTCGAAAGCCTTTGTTCTCACATCTAGGTGAAAGGAAGACAATATTTTTCCTGTAATTAAGGCAGACAGGAAAAGCAGCGAATTCCCATCACCAGAGATGGAGTTGGGTAAATAATCTGGGAACACAACAAAGACACAAACAGCAAATGACCCAAGAATTAAGAGCATGAGCCAGAGATTGCAATTACTATTAAAGATCTACCATTTATTGAATACCTGTTATGTACAGGACACTATACTAGGCACTCATGTCTAACCACAACTCTGTGAGATAGGGTATGATCAGCCCCATTTTAAAGTGAAGGAAACAGACTCAGAGAAGTTAAGCAGCTTGACTAAGGTCACACAGCCAATATAAGGTGGAGCTGGAACTCTGATCTGTGAGGTCAAAGTCCACTTTCCTTCACCTTACTCTGCTTTTGAGATACAAGAGGGAAGCAGTAACTGCAGCCCCCTCAGGGCTCTCAGGACCCCGCCCAGTGGGGCTTTCATACCTCCAGTGAGTTCCATTGTCAGCTTTTCATTTTCAATCATCTTCTTCTTTTCTTCCAGCTCAGCAATCAGGTTCTCTTTCAGCTCAACTTTCTTGTCTTCAAATTCTTTCACTGCTGCTTTCTTTTCTTTAATGTAATTTCTTTCCACTTGTTCCGTCTGAGCAAAAGAGAAACATAGGCTAGGAGGACATGGCCTGGGAGCCAGGGCTGCAACCAGAAAGAAGCCTGGTTCTGTCCTGAACAGCAAAGAAAACGCCTTTATTGTAAACATGGGAACTATAGGTTCATTCACATACACAGTTGCAGTAACAGGGTGTCTGGGAGCAAGTTTTCCAATGAAAACCACAAAAATCAAACCACACGACTTTTGCTTGTTTTTTGAGTACACATCACTTGCTATTCAGGTATTTTCTCTTTTCCATCTTATATTTTACAGCTTTTATATTAAACAAAAACAAATTTCTCAAAGATAGTAAATAATTCCTTTTAAAGATACAACTTCAAAGGAAAACAGATTCCAGATGAAATATCTATATTCAAAATTACAAGATATTGAGGCCAGATGGTGTGAGTTACTATTATTTTTTGATACTTACAGCAAGAAAAAATAACTGCTATAGTAGATCACTTATTAAATGCCTGAACCCTGAAATACTCTAACATCAATAGCATACTAAATAAAAACTGTACATGCACCATTTAAAATCTCACCATTGTAGTAAGTGACAAACGAGGGGGCCTATGGAGGCCTGTGGCAGCAGACTGTGTGACACTTGGCTATGACTGATGATGTGCATTGAACTGAACTAAAATGTGTTCCAATAATGTGGCTCTGAAAAACCATGACCTTCACAAAATGTACCCCCCGACCAAACACACACACACACACATGCTAGCCACCCTGGGAGCACTACACCATTCGAGACTCAGGCCCTCATCTCTATACTGTAGCACCGATCCTGACAGAGAAGCAGCACACAGGTGTCCATGGAATGAAAGGAAAAATTTAAAAATCTTTCTTACTAGCCTAGAGAGTTTCAGCTGTAAACAGAACAGAATTCAGAGATTAGGCTGCTTCAAGGACCAATATCAAATTATTAGGCCATTATAATTCAGACATATTTCCGAACAGCTTTAATGTGAAATAAAAGTCAACAAGAAAGCAGTGAGGGGTGAGTATTCTTTAATCCTCTGTGATAAGCAGAGGCTGCCCAATCAGAAAATGAACAGACAGAATGTCTGAATTGTGATAATGTCCTTTAGTCTAACAGAACAGTGATGAAGGCTTCCAAACTATCTATTTGGTGACAGATAGAAAGGTCACCAGACTGGAGAGCAAGATTCCAGTCTCAGAAAGAGCCTACAAACCCCAAAGATCCGTGATACTTACTTCCAGCTGGAGGAAGAGTTCTGAAAGAGATAAAAAGTGCAATTAGATTCGCTAGGCTATGTCACCTTTCTAGACAGTGATGTTAGCATTCATTTACAAGCAGTAATTGCTTCCTGAAAGCACAATACACAAAGCAAATGTTTTTGTCAGTTAAAATGCTGATATGTATGAAAGTAAAGGATGCAAGAAGTTAGGTGTCTAGTTAAAACTTGACCCTGAACAGATCTGCTCTGGCAGTTCTGCCTGAGGGCAAAACTCGAGCAGCAGCAACCAAACTACCCTGGCAAAATAAAAGTTATCCCTTTTTTCACTCAGTCCACACCCTCTGACAGGCCTGAAAATAGCAGGGTGGGTCAAGAAGAAACAATGCAATTCCTCCAAAAGCAGAGTTCGTGTTGATGTTTTTAAAGCATCGTATGAAGGGCTCTGTGCAGTAAGGGCGCTCCCAAGGAATCCACAGGACAGAAGTTCTGAGTCCTCCCGGGCTTCACTATCAGGCCACCACACTCTGCTCTCTGGTCTCTCTGATCACACTCCCAAGTTTCTGATCAAATGTAGCCCCTTCCCTGAGGCCTTTTCTGATTACTCTTCACTCATACAGTTCTTCTCAGACACCTTAAAGTATCCACCCAACAGTATTCAACAGCTTATTTAGTACCCATTGTGTGCCAGGTGATTAGGAACACTTTACCCAGCAGCTCCCTCTACCACTAGATTGGTACTAGCTTACAATCCCCTCTGCAAACCCTGTATGTACTTGGAACAAAATAGGTCTGTGGCTTCCAATCTCTTCTGGGTGACAGTGGGTCTGCTACATACAGTCCACAAAGACTATCGGTAGACCAGTAACTCCAGGGGGTACTGTTCACCCTCTATTATATCAGGGGCCCCTTTGCAAACCTGGTAAATTCTACAGACCCATTCCCCAGAAAAAAAGCACATATGCCACGCATGAATACTCCATAGAATTTTGACAGTTCCAGGAACCCCAGATTAACAGCCCAGATGCCAATTAACAGTTGTTGAGCGAGAAAATTAATTGAGGAAAAAGATAGCACACTGATTTTCTAATCCCCAGAAGCCCTACCCACTTTGACACTAGGACTCACTGGACACAGGAGCCCAGGCACACCGAGCCCAACATGCCTCACTCTTATGACTGCTTCAGACGTACACCACGCATGAACAGGCCAGAGTGCTGAAGTCCTGTGCCATTCCGAGAAATCACATACTGTACCAGCAACTCAAAATGACAATTAGCACTTAGAGGTAGTGCTTGTAATTTTAGTTAAAGCAGCCAGATACCAGACACTACTAAAGCAGGTGGATTATCGCTGCACAGAATGTGCTTTTTAAAGCTGAGGTAGTGACTGATTTAGGAGCCCTTCTGCATTTTTACCTGGAGGAAAGAAATGTTTATGAAAGAACACATGAGGACAGGATTGAGAGTCTGCGAGCAGAATGAAAACAACTCAATACTCAGCCTGCTGTTCTAACTTAAGAAAAATGGCTCACATCAATTTTTTTCCTTATTTACATCTTATACTGAGTCCATGAGGTATTAGTGCTCCCCTTTGCAGGGGGGGAAACTGAGGCTTCAAGAGCAAAAGGCACAGATGTAAAATGATAGAGAGGGGATCTGAACCTAAGACCCTCTCCTTCCACAATGCCACCTCCTTTACCTGCTAAAGGGGAAGTCTAGGAAGAGGGCTGAGGATTTTAAAGATGTCCCACGGAGGTGCTACAGGAACTCAGAGTAGAATGGGGACAATGGGAGGGGCCGGCAGGAGGTGGAAGGGCAGAGGGTTAATGGCTGTGTCTCCATTTTCCCAGTGCCCCCACACCCTTCAGATGCTTTTCTATCTGTTAGTGTACACTGGACATCTTCTCACTGGGGGGAGAGAGTGAAGGATTCCATCGATACAAGGTTGGAAAGTCGCTGGATCAGAACCCAAGAGGACGGCAGCACAAGGAAAGGCATGCAGCCACCATCTAAAACTCAACACCCACCATCGGGGGAGCATCCACCCTGCTGGCACCCAGGATGCTGGATGATGGCGAGCTTTAAAATTCAACACACACAAAAGATTTCCTGTAAGCTCAGGGACCCATGTTTACACACTCTGAACAGGTGTCACATCTCACTTTCTGCATGATTCTTTAACTCGTATTGTTCCTTAATGTGACTCATGTGGATCTCTTGTGAACGCAGCGGTGAGTTTCCTAGAGTCAATGTGTTACACGACATTATACTGCTCAGTGCTTAGACATGGCACATGCACACACATTTTTGTTGAACAAATACATTTACTGTATACAGCAGATCAGAAGCGTGCTTTTTCTCTAAATGCTTATAACACAGTACTTTGGGGAATTAAAAAGAGGATGCCTCCTCCCCAGCACAGAATACTGAAACAAACTTGAAGCAGGACTAACACAACCTACACTCCTTTTTCCACATCAGCACTTCTGATTGCCCATTAGGCCAGTCATGTGGGCCACGAGCAGGAAGGTGCAAGACTACCATTGGGGTACCAGGGAGAACAACCTGACCACAAGGAGTCACCACTGACACCCCTGAGTACTGGACCATTCTTTGGTAACTGGAAGAAAAGATGAAATAATTTTACATAACTGTAGCTTTGGAGTCTCTCTTCCCCTAAACTCTCTCCCTCCAGTGGAATATCTGAAATATGTTTTGGAGAATAGCACTTAGGGCCACATTACATCAATGATCAGCAAATGGTGGAAAGTTTGAAAATGATTCATTTCCATTTAAAAGAGCCTTACCTGCATTTCGTATCCTCTCTTTGTACTGCTGATCTAGTTTTTTCATTCTCTTCTGATATTCCTGTAATGTACCTGATTTTGAGCATGTAAAAAATAAAGTTATTTTGAAGATTCTACATTTTGTTTTCTAAAATCATTCTCTAGCACTAACAGTGACTGCTTTTAGTAACAACACAGTAAAACACAAACCGAGGAAAGCTACACCTCAGCAGTTAACTGGACTCTGGTTCTCAACCAAGGCACACAGCAGAAACCACCTGGGGACTATTCTGAGTCCACCTCGACCTAGTACATCGAGACTCTCTAGGGACTGAGGGGGAGTGGAAAGGTACTGACACCAACTGATTCTGATCACTTGTTGCAATAGTCTGAGTCATAGGCCTCCCTTTCCTGGAAAGGGTTCATTCTTCTTCAGTAAGGTCCAGGTCAACATTGTCCAGCAAAACTTGCTGCAACAGTGGAAATGTACCACATTTGCACTGTCCAATATGGTAGCCACTAGCCACGTGTGGCTATTTTAGCACTTCAATTTGCTAGTGCGATTGAGGAACCGAATTACTAATTTTATTTAATTAAATTTAAATAGCCACAAATAGCTAGTGACACAGTATTAGATAGCTCAGGTATAGATTCTAACCAAATCTCTACCCAGTTCATTGCTCTTCCCCCAGAGGAGCTAATTATGAGGGGGACGATTTGTAGGGGGAATTATTTTCTGATCATAATGCTTGTCCGTGGGCTCATCCAACGGAGTAGATCACCCTCAAGCAATAAAAGAACCTAGTAGGAAAGCAATTTCACTGATGAGGGAACTCCACCATATGAAGCCAAAGAGCTAATGGCAGCAGCTAATTGTCCCCAAGTTCTCATGATGTGCCCAACACTGTGCTAGGTACTCCTCATGCATAATCTCACCTACTATTATTTTCTTCATTTCACAGATCATAAAATAGATTAAGCAAGAAAGAAAGTGGCTGGCCCAAGGTCACATTATTAGAATGTAGTGAAACTAGGACTCAAACCCCTCACAGAACTTGAGGTCCTGCGCTCTTACCGCCCCCCCCGCATGCCACACTGCCTTTAGCAGCCAGCAGCACTTGATGAGACAGACCCACTTTTAATTTACCAAGCAAAAAAAGAGAAAACACAGTGTAGATAATCCACAGTTCATTAACTCTTGGTTTAAAAAGGATAGTAAAACTTTATTCTTTGGTAACAATGTCCCTTCTAAAAATATCTAGCTTTAGGCACAGTGATTTTCAACTCATGCTCCATAGAAAGTCTCGAATAAGATTTCATTTGAAGAAAGCACTTGATATGTATTGGAAATAAATTAATTAAAAATAAAAGTTTGAAAATCACCACTTTACTGACAGCAAAAGATAGCAAAATGTGTACTGGGTCACTAAAATCAAATAGACCAAATTTTAAATCACTCCCACAAAGAAGTGAAATACAGATTTCAAGGGTTTGTAATATTAAGAAGTATATTTACAAACAAAAGATTCAACCACACACCAACCTTCCTGTAGTTGTTGCAACTGCCTCTTGAGAGAAGCCAGTTTGTCCTGATACATCCTACAAAAAAAAAAAAAAAAGCCACACTGAAAGATAAAAACATTCAACACTCAATTCCAAAATTATCTACCCACAGAACTGCTGGGAATGTCATTAACATCTTTCAGGGGAGAGAGGAAACTAAAGTCAGCTAGTTGGTTTAAAATATACCAGTAGCTACAGGGACCAGAAAGGGACAAGAACCCTGAATCATATCCTAATTTTGTAGATTCTCCTGACTTATCCCAACTTTCAAGAATCAGTCTAAATCTGCAACTATGAAGACAGATTTTTTTAATAAATGACACTAATAAACAGGCGAGAACACACAAAGAAAAACTGAAAGTATGATGTTACTGTCCTCTGGATTTTGAAGCATAAGTAACACATATGCAGACAAAAATGGAGAAATGGCATTAAACACAACTCTTATATCAACTCTACAATTAGATTATAAAATTCCAAAGGAGTAAGATTATGCCCTCAGCATCTTTTTCTATACAGAAAGTGTAAGCACTAAGTCAATAAACCTTCACGTCACTTTTTAAAGTACTGCTCTTTTAGGATCAGAGAAATAACAGTAATTCAGAAACAAAAGTTAAAATGCAGCACTTATTTGTAACCCCAGCTGGATGAGAACACACAGCACACACAAAGCAAAAGAACTTGGCATGTTACTTTTTTCTTCTCACATCTAATGGATTATAGGCAATTATACACTCCAGCAAGTCTGTTTGATGGTAGAGTCCACAAGTAAATCCCATTTCGGCAATATTTTTCCTCCTACCTGAAAAACACCTCCGATTTCACAGTGACAAAAACAGGATTCTCAACCTGAAAGAACCGTGTCGCACACACAACAGGCACAATAACCTTCTGGTATATGTGTTACCAAAGCAAGCACACAGGCACAGTAACATTTTGATTACTCAAATAAAAGCTGTAAATACAACCCAGTTCTTTACAGGTGGAGGAAAAGGGAGGCAGAATCTGAGAATCACCCAGGTCTGATGCTTTTAGGGCAGATTCTGATGTACTCTCAATGCCCACCTTGAATCACACAAGGCCTTCAATTCTAATCAAAATTATTTTCTATATCATCAAATACTAAAAGGGAACAATCAATTAAAAAATCATCTCAAACTGCTTAAACATATTCAGAGGAGAGGGAATGGATCAGTAAACCATGCCAAGAAGTATCTGGAACCCAAGGCATTACATCTTTCACCACATTGAGGGTGCCAGCCAATACCTTTGCAGTCTGAGTCTATCTTTGAAAGAGAATACCGACAGACTGAAGAAGTAAACAGAAGAAAAAAAAAAAAGCAGATCCGTGAAAACCATGTATGAGAAAAAGAACAGGTAAGTGAAAATACATCTCAAATGGGTCAAGGTGAATCAATTCAAGCTTTTTGCTTCAAAGAGAAGAAAAAGCAGAGTTTCAGGAACAAAACTGGTAGAGCATTATGAATTATTAAAGGAATCCTTCTTTATTCGGCACTGTTCAGACTTAGCTGAATTACCCCTTTGGGTTCTAAAGCATGAAAAGGATGACAGACTCCAGAAGATGGCCATAAAAAATTTACAAATAGGACCTAAAAGGAAAGGAATATAGATTATTTAAAGGCAAGGAATTATGAAAGTCTAATCAAGATCCTCAAATACATTCAACAAATACATACTAAATGTATTTTATACGGTCTTCCATCTGCACGTATGCTAAAAGTGAGTGGGGCTTCCGTTTCTCTAGACATGTTTGGCTGTGGCTGTCTGAAGACAATGAGGACAAGTGCAAATGTGGACAGAGCACGGGACCAAGAGCCAGCAGCCCTGCTTTCCAGTCCTGGTTTCCCTAAGCTGTCCAAGCCCCCAGCACGTTGGTTAGCACACAGCTGATGCTCAGTGAGCCATCTGAGAACCCCGCTGCTTCTAGACATCATTTATCCTCTCTGTATGCCAGTTTTCATATCTTAAAAAAAATGAAGTGGTAAAAGGTTCTCTCCTGTTATATGGCCTTATTCCCTCTCCTGTGATCATTTCTCTCAAGGTCGTTTCCAGCCCACCCTCAAAAAAGTCTTATTTAGCCGGGCACGGTGGCACACCCCTATAGTCCCAGCTACTCAGGAGGCTGAGGTGGGAGGATCACTTGAGCCCAGGCATTCAAGGCTGCATTCCAGACTGGGTGGGAGAGTGAGCCCTCATCTCTAAAAAAATGAAAAATAGGCCAGGCGTCGTGGCTCATGCCTGTAATCAATCCTAGCACTCTGGGAGTCTGAGGTGAGAGGATTGCCCCAGGTCAGAAGTTTGAGATGAGCCTGAACAAGAGCAAGACCCTGTCTCTACCAAAAATAGAAAAAATTAGCTGTGTGCAGTGGCACACTCCTGCACTCCCAGCTACTAGGTAGGCTGAGGCAGGAGGATAGCTTGTGCCCAGGAGTTTGAGGCTGCAGCAAGCTATGATCACACCACTGTACTCTACCCAGAGCGACAGACCAAGACTGTCTCAAAAAAAGTTTTCTTTAAATTAAAAAATTAAAAATCAAGAGTCTTATAACAGGGAGACTATTAAATGGGACTAAAAGTGGGAAAATTGTACATATCTATGTGGTCTTTGGAAGCACTATGGTCAAAAACATACACAGAAGGTCACTACAGGTTGAGTAGCCCTTATCTGAAGTGCTTGGGACCAGAAGTAATTCACATTTTTTTGGATTTCAGAATATTTTCATTATACTTACCAGCTGAGCATCCCAAATCCAAAAATCTGAAATGCTTCAATGAGCATTTCCTTTGCGCGTCATGCTGGTACTCAAGAAGTTTTGGATTTTGGAGCATTTCAGGTTTCAGATTTTTGGATTTGAGATGTTCACCCTGTGTAAAGATTTTGTTGTCAAGTCTATATTCCAGAGAAGAAACACAAAAATCATACTCACTGTTCCTTCATTTCTACATAGTCTTCTTCATCATGCTTTGCCAAGTCAGTTTCACTAGCATCCTCAGTATCTGAGTAAAAGTGGGAAGAAGGGTTAGTGAAAATTATAACTCAGAAAGTTGGTGACACCTGACACAGCTTAAGCTCTTAATGAACTCCTATAAAATGAATTTCATTGCAGGCCTGCATGAAGTCATCAGCAAAAATATGTTAAATACAGTCAGCCCCTGTTATCTGAGGACATAAAATCTGCAAATAGAGAGCGCCGACTGTAAAGGACTTGAGCAACCTCAGGTTTTTGTATCCATAGGGGTCCTGGAACCAATCCCCCATGGATACCAGGGGACAACTGTACTTCTGAAAAGAAAATCCCATTTTCAACTTATACACAGATTTATGCAAAGAGCTTGCTTTTATCTAAAGTGCAGCCACAGAATAGAGTGCATCAGACATGGGTAGTCATGGTCAAGGCTGTTATTTCTGCAGAAGCAAGAAGAATGGCAGCTCAGGAAAGGAAATGTGGACATGAGACCCGATACTACAGGCAGTTGAGCCTTACCGCTCCAAAAAAAAAAACACCAAAAAACCCTAGTATGTACATTCTCTCCTGGTACATGCCAGTTTGAACTCTTCACACATTTTTACATCAGATACACAGTCGTCCCTCAGTATCCACTGGGGACTGATTCCAGGACTTCCCTTGGATACCAAAATCCTGGGATGCTCAAGTCCCTGATACAAAATAGCGTAGTATTTGCAAATAACCTACATTCTCCCATATACTTTAAATCATCTCTAGGTTACTTATAATACCCAAGATAAGGTGTATACTACGTAAATAGTTGTTATACTGTATTTTCTAGAAAATAATGACAAGAAAACAAGTCTGTACAGGTTCATTAAAGATGCAATTTTTTCCCCCTGAATATTTTCAATCTGTGGTTGGGTGAATTCACAGATGTGGAACACACAGACATGGAGAGCCAACTCTATACAGTAACAAAAGAGAATCCAACACAAATAACTGAAATATTTTCAAAGTTACAACTAAAGGAAACTAGAAGGTGGCAAGATGATCAAACAAAAACTGTTTCAAAACATTCTAAACACTGTTCTTAGAACAAGCAAATGGCTGGAGTATCTACATAATTTCAACAGCCCCTGTATTTGAAGGGGGGGAAAAATCAATTTTGGTTTCACTGCTCCCCCTCGTGGGCATTAAAAGCAGTGCAAATGACTCACATTCAAACTCTCTAGTTAAACCTTGTCTTCAAATGTCGTTAAACCAAATGTAATCAGTTCCTTCAACTTTATGTCCTGCATATGTAGCTGCCTTTTGAAATATCCAAATCTCCACAAACCACTCTCCCTTCTTTCAGTCTGGAGGCCTTCACTGAGTTCCTGTCATGTGCCAGCCAGCCACATTACTTGGCACTTGGGAGACTGAGATGAATAAAACATACTCTTCATTCCAAACAGCTGGGGTAGCTTTTGCTCCACAGCCCTATTTTGTGCCAGAATGTTCCACTCAGATATAAGTCTCTTTTTATCTCCTCTTTCTTCTCCTGGACTTTTCTTATCTCTTCACCCTTCTCCTCCAGCCAGCTCCTTCCTCAATCCCTCCGAAACAGGACTCTACACTTGCCAAACCGTAAAGCCCAGTTTGAAAAGCAAGGTTCTAAGAGGCAGCAATGATAATATAAAGGGCACGGAACTGAAAACACAACACCTGGGCACCATTAACCAAATCCCCACCTCCCCCACTGCCCCAGTGGTGAAAACATTTACTGTTTAGTGTAAGTACCAGGCCAGGACTTAATATGCACATGTTTAATCCTCACACCTACCCTACAAAGTAGGCGCTGACAGTCCCATTACAGTTGGGTAAACCGAGGCTGAAAAGCCCAAGTTGCCCAAGGTTACAAAGCGGGGTTAAGTGACAGAACCAAATTTAAACCCAGATCTGGCTGACTCCAGGTCCTGTCCTTTTAACCAACCTGCCATTCTCAATTCTGTACTATACCAGCCAAAGTAGAGCTGACTTATACACTGGAGAAGGGGGGAAGGGGAGAGCGACTTGGGAACGAGAAGCAAACCGGGCTTTACTCTGATCCTCTAGGGAACAAAAAAGGAAATACTACGCTTGCTGAAGTCAAATGGATGACTTTTCCATTCCAACCAAACACTTGGGGGCGGGGGTAGAGTCTTAAAGGGACCTCCAGCTCTGACAACATCTAAGTCTCTTCTTCCCATAACGGTTGGGCGCAAAGTACCCAGGGCTTCCCCGCTTCCCCAGCGCAGGCTGAGGTAACTTCCCGGAGCCCCGCTCCTCCCAGCTGCCCCCCTCCAGCCAGCCCCGAGCCCCAGAGGCCGCCCCGCCCCTCTCTCGTGCTGCCCCACCCCCTCCCCCAGCGGTCCCACCCTCGCCCGGGGCTGCCCAGCGAGCTACTGGACTCACCTTCGTCCGACTCTCTGCCCCGACAGCTGCGCTCATCGTCCTCGGCGCTCTCCAACTCTTCGTCCTCCTCAGGGTAATACTCCGGGGCCGGCGGCGCCCCAGCCGGGGCTGGAGCCGGAGCCAACAGCCCCGCCGCACTCATGTTGCCTCTGGCCGCAGCTGAGCGTGTCTCCGGGAGACCGCGGCCACGCGCTCTGGGGCCACGACGTCCCCGTAGCAGCGCCCGAGAGGGCCCCCAACTCGAGGAGCGGGAGCCTCGGCGGCGACCCCTTCCCCGTCTCCTCCGAGCTCCGCCCCCCGCGCCCGCGCTCGGCAACCGGGGCCTCGCGCCGCAGGCGACTTCCGGGTCGCGAGCTGCCCGACGACGGCCTGACTCCGCCATCCTTGCGAAGGTGGGGAAGCCGCCGGACGCCCCCTTCGCCGCAACATCAACCCTGACATCGCCGTCTTAAAATCCTCACCGGTAGTGGGGTAGGGGGCGGAGGCAGGCTCTCTTGAGTTAGGCAAATCTTTGGGCAGGCCTGGCTGCGGCCAGGACCCCACGGCGCAGAGGAGATTTCCGGAAGCAGCCGCCAGGCGGCGCCTGGAGACAGAACTAATGCTAGGATCGTTAGCGACCTGAGGGGCGGGGGGCTTGCAGGGTCCATGGCAGGTGAAGGTGATCTCTAATTTAAGCAGGTGAACCACATGAACCGTCCCCTTAATAGGTCAGGAAAGCCAGACATTCAGAGTGTGCGTGATCATGCAGCAAAAAGGGATCCTGGCTCCTCCCCCGACTACTTGGAGCTTTATTAAGAACTAAAAGACAAAGATGCTGATATTCCATCCTGGGGTCAGCAAAACAGTATTTTCCCAGTTCTTGGGAATTTTTTCTGTTTGTATACGTTTACTTGGTAAGATGTCCTCCCTATTTTACAAATGAGAAGATGTCATTTGCCTAAAAAATATAGTAGCGTCTAGTCTAGACTCGGAGACCCGGGCCCTCCACAGCACAGCTGCCTCATATTTCCTTGAATATTAATTTTTTAAAAGATATTCTTGCCTAATCCAATAGCTTGCTAACCAACACTCAATTGAGCGAGTGGAGCATTTGCCTACAGGAAGTAATTTGGCTACAGTAAGCCAGCCCATGGCAGCCCAGGTGGAAACTCACAAAACGAGAGCTGAGTATCTGCATGAATGAATTTGTATGAATCCCTCTGAGTAGAAGAGGGACACGTGTTGTAAGTTTTGCTGAACGAACAGATTTAGGGTGTCCCTTTTGCTGAAAACAGTGTGGTCTAGTTGCATGTAGCAAGAAAATGGATAAGGAAAAGGGACTAGAGGTGGTTAATGGTTTGTCCAAAGTAACCCCACTCTTTATCTTGCACCCAAGTCTCCATAGAAAAAGTAACCAGTAATAAAGCTGAACACAGATGTGAAAACCAGGGTGTATTGTAATCTAATTCTCAGACCTTTTGCGATCAAATTTATCTCTGAATTGGACCCCATGGAGTCTCCTAAAAATGAAAAAGTTTATTCCCATCCCATTTATTTTGACATTTCTTACTACCTTGTTTTAATTAAAGTCGTGGCTCTATTTGTAAGGGCTTTTTCTTCCCAACAAAACTCAAGAATTTCTAGAATGGAATTCTGCGATGTCTTTCCAGGAGCTCAGAGATCTTCCAAATCTCCTTCTCAATAATAATCATTCTCAGAGCTTACTGTAGGTCGGCCATCTATATTTAAACTAGGATTTCAGAACTGTCTCTTGTCCAAAGGATGAAGTCATTTTCTTTTTTTGTACTCTTAGATCACATCTAAATTATTTTTAATCAACTATATTGAGTAGCTTGAGTTCCTATCAGCAGCAATAATCACAGAGCAAGAAAAGCACCAACACTTTACAAATCAGAGTTCATTGATATAATGAATCCAAAAAAAAAAGTTGATTTCATTGCTAAATGGTTTCCTTTCAAGATGTTGGGTTTTTTATCATGCTTATGTTTTATTTCTATCTTTTTGATTGCAAACAGCATCTGTTAATGGTCACGCATTTCTTTTTTATATGTAATGAACAGACACAACTGAAGTCTTGGGTGGTGAAAATTTACCACATCTTTTTCTATCCCAACTGCCAACTGCAGAAATAGTAAGATGAACTCTTTGAAAAATGCTCTTTAGTGAAAGGGAACCTACTCAAAAAAAATTCTCTCATGGCTTCAGTCTTACCTAAGCTTTATAGTTGTTAAACATGATGATTTGGGACAGTCTCTATTGGCCTGTAAAAAATCAAGTTCCCTCAAAAACAAGTTCCATCTTGAAATCTTTCTCTGCATCCCTTCCCAAAATGGCAGTTAGCCACACTGCTCAGGAGACACCTGCTTCACAAATCGACTTAAAATGAAGTCCTGCCAGGTGCATTTACACAACTTATTGTGCCTCCAGGGCCTCTCTCCATACCCTAACCCCCAAACTTAAACTTTAAAGGGGAGCATTGAAATTGGAATGGGGTATGACTTTTAAACACTAGGGACAACACATATACTGTTTAGAACACAAATTTTGTCAGTGGGAATTTAAAAAGCGTTAACAATGGAGGGTTTTCTGAGAACTGAGGCCTGTATACATGTGACAAGGCTTAGGATCAAAATGTGTACCTGAAATGAAACAATTTCTTCAGAAAATGCTAAATTGTCAAAGTCCATAAGCTTACTTGGGGTTTAGGGGTAAAGGAAAACAGTTTTTAGTTCCCGGTGCTGATTTAATCAATACAACCAGTTTCACAAAAATACAACGAATGGGTCTGAGTAACATGATGCACTTTCGCCCCTGGCAGGCACTGTCTTTCAGCTTGAGTCAAGATGGGTCTCTGGTTATCACAGGGTACACATGGGTCAAAGCTCGTTATCCTTTGGCCATTAGTTCACATAGAATCATCAAAACCTGTGGCCCTGAAAAATGTTGCGTTGAATAGGCTTGCTGAAACCTTGCTAAAGCTGACAAGGTTTCCCTACCACACAGCTCCTGTTCCTACTGTCATCAAAACTCACAAGCTAAGTTATTTCCAAAGCTTTGTCCTTGTACCCATCAAAATGTGACCCGTCTAGAACGCTTACTTGTGCAAAGTATGCATCTAGTATTACAAAAATAGATTTTTCCCCAACGGCATTAAATTGAGGTCTGTTGAACGCAAGTAAAGGCATAAAATGGTTTAAATCCAGGGAATATTTACAAATCCTAAGCAAATAAATGCTACGTTAATGCATGGCAGAATTACTAAGAAAGCTGTGCAAGGTTTAGTGAGAGAATGGGGTCTTCCCCAAAGACTCTAACACGGTGGCCTCTGGAAGTCTCCCAAGAAAAGTAAAGGCATGGGGAGGAATGCCATGAACTTTGACCCCAAAGCAGCATAAACAACACTGACCGCACCCCAAGCGGGCCCGTGGGTAACTAAATTTGCGAAGTCTTCCGTGTCCGAGGAACTCCGCCCCACCCTGTTCCGCCCTCCATCAACTCCGCCAATCCTCGGGCTCCATCGACCACTCGGCTTCCCAGGTGCTTCCAATCAAATACCTATATCCGGCCCCGGCCCTGTGCCTCCCGATCAGGGAAGGTCAGTCGAGAACCTATCTGAGCCAAGCTGGGGGCGTGGTCGGGGGCAGGGGGCGGGCGTACTGAGACGGCGAGGCGGAGCGCGCTCGGCGCAGTCCGGTGCGATTGGTCACCCCTGGCAGGAGACGCACCTCGGACAGCAGCAGCGGCGGCCGCGGGAGGGTCGGTGTGGCGCGGGGCGGCGGGGTCCTGCGTGCAGAGTGGGACGCGACGCGGAGACCGCCGGCGGAGGCTCCGCGCAGCCGGATCCGGCACTCAGCAAGCCGACCCGGGGATTCGCCGGGGGACAAGCCTCAGGAGAGCGACTCGGGAACAAGTGTGGGAGAGGAAGCGGCGGCGGCGGCGACGCCGGGCCCGGGAGTGGTGACAGCAGGTCTGAGGTGAGTGCACCGGGGCACGGGGCGGTGACAGTGTGAGCCGAGAAGAGGAGACCCCAGGCGGAGTGAGGTCCGGGAGGACCCGGGTGAGGGGAGTTCCGGGAGTGAGCTTCACAGTGCTCGCTGTGAAGAGGAGACCCCGAGGGGGACCCGGACAGAGGGCTGAGGGGAAGGGACCCCAAAAAGGACCGAGACAGTGGGTCTGAGTAGAGAGGACCCCGAGAGTGGCCAAGACTGAGAGTCTGAGGGGAGGGGTCCCCAAGAGGGGCCGGGACAATGGATGTGAGGAAAGGGGACCCCGAGAGGGACTGGGACAGTAGGGTGAGGGGTGGGCACCCCAAGAGGGACCCTAATAGGGAGGTGTGGGGAGGGGTCCCCGAGAGGGGCCGGGACAGTTAGGTGAGGGGAGGGGTCGTAAAGAGGGGTCGGGACAGCAGGTGATGGGAAGGGTCCCGGAGAGGGGCCGGCACTGAGAGTCTGAGGGATGGGGACCCCCAGAGAGGCCGGGACAGCAAACTGGGGAGAGGAGACCTCCAGAGGGACTGGGACAGCAGGTGAGGGGAGGGGACCCCGAGAGGAGCTGGGAAAGTGGACCTGAAGAGAGGGGACCCCCGAGAGGGGACTGGACAGCGAATGTGAAGAGAGGGAATCCCAAGAGGGTTTAGAATAGCAGGTGTGAGGGGAGGGGACCCCGAGAGGGGCCAGGACAGCAGGGTGAGAGGAGGGGACCCCGAGAGGGGCCAGGACAGCAGGGTGAGAGGAGGGGACCCCGAGAGGGGCTAGGACAGCAGGGTGAGAGGAGGGGACCCCGAGAGGGGCTAGGACAGCAGGTGTGAGGGGAGGGGACCCCGAGAGGGGCCAGGACAGCAGGTGTGAGGGAAGGGGACCCCGAGAGGGGCCAGGACAGCAGGGTGAGAGGAGGGGACCCCGAGAGTGGCTAGGACAGCAGGGTGAGAGGAGGGGACCCCGAGAGGGGCTAGGACAACAGGGTGAGAGGAGGGGACCCCGAGAGGGGCTAGGACAGCAGAGTGAGAGGAGGGGACCCCGAGAGGGGCCAGGACAGCAGGGTGAGAGGAGGGGACCCCCAGAGGGCTCAGGACCGCAGGCATGAGCGTGGGGACCCGGAGCAGGGCTTGGAGCGTCTGCTGGAGGCTCAGCCCGGGAGGGAGGCGGCGGCGCCCAGGGTGCGGGTCGGGCCCCCTGCCCGCCTGCTCCGGAGAGGCGAGGGAGTCGGCGAGGGGTCGCGCCCGCCGAGTTGTGGAGACCTCCCAGGACGGCCGCGGCGGGAACGTGGGTCTGGGTCGCGGCGTCGGGAGGCAGCGCGGGCAAGTGTAGACCCAGGGTCTGCA